TTTACGTTGTTAAACAGTATGAAAGAAGATCAATTGGTTGTACACTGAGGATGGAACAATGAAATTGAAAAGCTTACAGAAGGTGAGAGGATCCATGTAACGGTGAACAACTGCTGGGCGTTAAACTGGAGCTAATTGTCACTCTTGGCATGGTGCATAGTTGTGTTAGTAAAGTAATGACAACTTAAAAACCATGTGCAGATCAAATTAATTAATTACAGATGTCACTTTTTTACCCATAAGTTTGCAGTTTTAGGATTTTAAACTAGGGCCTTTGTGTTCTATTGAGTCGTTTAGAAATAAATGAAACTTACCAGATGTTGAAAACAAGTCCACTGCAGAAGTGCCAAAATAAACTGCTTCAAATAGACAAGTGGTAATGAGTCACACGCTGTTCAAATGAAGGCTTTTTGAGTATGTTTGACTTAATATATTTTTCATAAATAAGGAGTTTAATAGAGAGAATCATTGAAACTAATAATTGAATTTTGTACACCGAGTGATTTAGTTTGAATCTATTTTAGAGACATATTAGGGCACATAAACAGACTATTGCACTATATCGCACTAACGCCTAGTATTCAATACACGTATATGTATCTGTTTAGATTTAGTGGAAAATATGCATAAGCTATGGATTGTCTGCCATCATTAGCAACGATACTGTTACATACAAACACCTTATCCTGTTTACGTCTGTCTTTTGTCGTCTACAGGAGCTCACTTGCCAAGAAAATATTATGTTTATTTATAAATATCCATTTGTAATCTGAATATGGAGATGTATTTAGCAGCTTGTATATGCATTATGCATGGTAAACACTCTCAATGGGAAGAGACTCAGACTCCACTCTTTGAAGACATTATTCAGAGAGATATTGGTTTACATTGAGAGAGACTCATGCAAACTCACACCTTGAGCCCAAATGGTTATGATAATGGCTGTCAATTTCACGGGGAATATTGTACTTCTTGGGGGACATTTTCTTTTAAAATAAGCAATGTCATCTTGTTCCAAATGTTCAAGGAAAGCCTCGCTTCCTGCGAAACGTTTGTCACAATGTTACAAACCAAAACAAATCTCGTGTGTCAAACCAGCTTTATTTTTGTGAAGATGTATTTTGTGTACCAGACATCATCAGTAGAAAACAATTAGCCCAGTTCACTCGCTGCTTCGTTTACGCACAAAGCAACAAAACATGTCAAAACTCATCTCCTCTCCAGAAATAGCTCTAATGAGCCGGAGGAGGCCGGCTTTCGTGCAAAAGATCAGATCGAGATGTAGTAATCTGTCGACGGTAGCATTTCGACTTCCACAAAACTGCAGCTCGAGCTATACGTCCTCGCCTTCTTTCACCCGGCTTAGATGCCAGCCTGCTGTCGCAAGGGGAACAACATGAAAATCATCACAACACGTCAAGGACTCTGACTCTGCACACCGTTCGTTACAAGTGCTGGTACGCCGGTGGAGAGGGCCCTTTTAGATTCGGGTGATTATAAACCCTCATTTCCTATTCTGGCTCATCGAGCAGCTGTCTAAACAGAGCTGAGTTTGCTCAGGTAGCCGTCCCTGGCTGGGGGGGGTGCTGCGTGTTAGAGTTATAACCATGCACTGCTTTGCATGATTGAGCATTTCCGGGGACTCGCCTATAGCTCCTGACCCACTTTGGTGTCTTTTGCGTTTCAAATATTTAGATCAAGCGGTATTGAGGCCGATAAACGCCGTGCCGTCTGACAGGCTGGGGTGGAGTGTATGTCATGGAGCGAATTCATTAAACAAATGGCAGAATCCGGGGTGGATGTTTTGATGAAATGAGCGTTCCCCTTTCCACCTAAAAAGATAAACAATGCATGATGTGCCGCATCAAATCCGACTCGTCAGAGATGTGCCTGGGAACAAAGGAGTGAACATGTATTTGAACAGCAGGATCCTCGTGTTGCTTCTGTCACTCTCAAGTGTTAATCTCTGCGAGCCATAGAGCTGCAGTCGGCGCCATCATCCATTATGACTACCAGTCAGAAAACGCACGCGAGCTGCGTCTCTGGCTGCTGAACTTTATTCCGGAGGCGCACTGGCGGTGTTGGGCTCGTGAAGTCGCCGTGACAGTTGGCCAGAACGCCAGCAGTGGGCTCGACTGGCTTAATGACCTAACATGTTCTCGTTGGCAACACTAAGTGAACTATTTATTAGTGAGCTGGGAACAGACACAGGGTGCACTCAGAGTGGTCATCACAGCAGCCGCCAGATGACAACACGATTATAAAAAGTAGAGTGTTGTCTTGTGGAGGATGTTTCCAATGTTAAGTGCTTTTACTTTAGGCCATAACATCGGCCAAAAACCGAACAGAAGTGACTTTAAGCTAAAAACACATTTCCAACATCATTGGTTGAAATGAAAGTTTGTGAACCTAAAGACCTTTTTATATGTCAAAAAATGGAACACTTCGATTCTTAAGCACAAGTAAAACATGTTATTGTCCACCAGGAATGCGACTTATTGTGGTCTTCATAACACCCAACAACCTGAAACACACAAAAAATAAATGACAAACACACTGTTTACTGAAAGGCAAAAAAGAACAAAGAGAAAAATACGTCCACATATTAACAGGAATAATTTGATATTTAGAGGAAATTACAATGAGGAAATATTTAGTTTTTGTCAAGGATTAGATGAGAAGATTGATAACATATATGCTAAATATGAAGCTAGATTCAGGAGACAAAACAACAATTTGTGGTTATTTCTTGACTATTCTATATGCTAAGCTAACTGTCTCATGTCAGTAATGTTATATTTTAGAATTTTTGACTTTTCAATTTCATATCATTTCATTTTAGTTTAGATTTTGCTTGTTTAGGTAGTTTCAGTTTCTCAGAAAGGTTTAGTTTCAGTATATTTAAATTTAGAGTAGCGCCAGATATAATCTCTCAACAGTATGTTGTTATATACATTTATATACACATGGTGGGAGAACTGAATGGCTAAAATGTTTAAATCTTTTAGTGTGGGAATCAACTTCAATACCACGCTCAGAAGAAAAACTTTCATCCGGACCTCATGTTAACCTTAGACCGGAGATGACTAGCTTGGTTAAATGGCATTTGATCTACTACAATATTTAAATCATATTCTTGTTCATCTCCTTGAATGCCAAGTCTGTTCAATTTCTGTAGTTCACACAAAATTCATGCTGCCTCCTTTTTTCGGTAGTGATATATTACAGCTCATAAACTAAAGCTGCAGTGAATTTATGTTCATTTTTAAATTTTATTTAATTCATTTTTTAACCAGGCAATATTGTTTGAGGTTAATTTTAGTCTTTCTTAAAGGATCGTTTTTTATTTAGTTTGAGTTTTAGTTGACCACAATAGCCTCGCAGTAGCTTCCCATTTAAAGGTCAGATATGAGAGTGGTATCAATCTGCTCATCTAACTCTTATAGCAAGAAAGTTAATGAGTCAAAAATGTCAAACTGTTCATTCAGTCTAGATAATAATCTGTAGAACTATTCATCTGCCTTAATTGATTCTGAGGATGTGTGACAAATGACAGTCTGTCCTTGGTGTGCAGTAGTTTGCATATGCAGCGAGCCTTTGAGCCCCTGACATTCTGGCTGGGTGTGCATCAAATGCAGTGCAGTAATTCCCTCGGACCCATTGGCTGTCTCTTTATGAATCCCCAAGTTATAATCTGTCAACACGCATCTGACATCCAGGGTGGCGTTCTGTATGTAGATGCAGCTTTCAGCCAGAGACAATCAGCTTGTCCTTGTGAATGCGACGGGAGAAGATGGACCTCCTCGCTCTCACCTCAACCTTTTCAAATGAGCTTTTATTGTCCTGTTAAGAACAAATAGGTGCAAATATTTGCAAAAATAAGGCAAGAAGCATGAGAGTTAGCCATCATTTATTTGTGCACACGGCCAAGCACAGCGTGTTGCATATCTGAGGATGTCTCTCTCTCTCTCTCTCTCTCTCTGTCTCTATCTCTCTCTCTGTCTGTCTCTGTCTCTGTCTCTCTCTTCTGTCTCTATCTCTCTCTCTGTCTCTGTCTCTCTCTCTCTCTTCTGTCTCTATCTCTCTCTCTGTCTCTCTCTCTCTCTCTCTCTCTGTCTGTCTCTGTCTCTCTCTTCTGTCTCTATCTCTCTCTCTCTCTTCTGTCTCTATCTCTCTCTCTGTCTCTCTCTCTCTCTTCTGTCTCTATCTCTCTCTCTCTGTGTCGCTCTCCCGCTTTATTGAATTTGTTTCAACAAGCCAACATCTTACACACTCTGCCTGTCTGTAGTGCATTAATTAACACTACAACTTTGTCATGGCAGTAAATTAATATTGTCTTAAATAACTTCTGTGACTAACATGTTTCGTTTCTTCTGACCTTGAAAAATAACTGAAACTCTGTAGTGAACAAAGTGTTTGCACATTATCCTTACAATTCAGATTTTTTAAATTCCACACAGTATGTCCTTAAAAATAAGATCAATATTCTTCACAGTAATAAGAGTGACCTTTTTAAGGAGTAAGTGCAGCACTAAAGAGAGAAGACAGTTACGTGGCTGACTCAGGCAGATCATACAAGTATTCTATGTGTTCCTCTGCACCATCTTGAAAGGCTTCAGGGCCCTTCACTGGAGCACGTACTCATGGGGCTTCAGTCAGTAGTCTCTCAAGTTCCATCCAGTTCCTCTCCCAGCGCACTCTTAGATGGTAGTAGTAGTTGTGTGGGCCGACTTATGGGAGGACTGCCGCCCCTGCAGAAACCCACTATCGCTTGGTCTCCTAGCTGTGCGTCAGAGTCCATAATGCTCAAAAGTGCCGTGAGCCATTAGAATTATTAACTCAGCCACGCTGGTAAGTGTTGTGGCCGACATTCCTTCGGCCTCCAGTTGCCCTTTTAGCTTCTCCCCTCTGAGGTATTGCCCTCTGATGTCACCCAAGACGTAATTAACCTGGTGGAAGTCATTGTGGGTCCCCATGTGCAGTCCGGAGTCCTGCAGAGTACACAGGACTCATTTGATCCCGCCAAAACAAAAGGGCACTGCACTCACTCTGTGTGTGTGTGTGTTCTCTCAACGTGAATTTCTGCAACACCCTGACAAATTATTTTTGGAAATGACTTGTCAGAAGCCCACCTACTGGTTGCACAGCACCTTTGATGACGGCATACTGTAGACACGCTCCTGGAGTAACTTTTAAAGATGTCTTTGAGTTTTCCATCGATCGGTGAAGTGTGGAGCATCATCAAGTTTGTCTAGTGTCGCCCGGCTCTTCCTAGAGATCGTATAGAAGGTGCCTGAGAGGGCAAGGCTGGCCCCAAGACACATTGCCACCTGTAATCTTCACAGGAAGTCCATCCATCCCCTCTGAGTGTCCCGTCACTGCCGGCCTGTCGGAGAAAAGAAGTCTCTCAAGCTGCTCTCAAATGGAAATAATGGATTGAGGGGGGAATGGTGTCCACGTCACATGATGGAGGTGTGTACTTGTGTGTGTGTGTATATATATCATAGGCCTACTGTGTTTAAGGTCATAAATAAACAATTAACAACATTACTTTTAAACAACATTTTAAGTATTACATGTCAAATTTCAGCAGAGTAGGATGAGAGGAACAACAGCTGTTATGTGTTGTTGTGGTATACATATTGATACGTTGTACTGCTCCTATGGCTCTGACACTATTTTCTCCAAGTAGAAGTTGCATTTTAGTCTCGTCAGAGAGTGCATTCAAATCTAGGAGATTAGCTGACAGAGCCCGTCTGGTCTGCCTGTGTCGGCCAGTCTCTATGGCCAGGCTGTGATCACTGAGTCTGTACATAGTCAATGTCTTTCTCAGTTTTGGATCACACGTGGCGGTCAGATAGTTTGCCACTGCATATTGTTTGTTTAGAGCCAAATATCATTGAAATTTGATTTTGAGTTTTTGTGGTGTCGTTTTCTTTTTCCAGATAAGTACAGGGACAGTGTGCAACTTTTAGTGGCATCTAGTGGTTTGTGGCCTATTTGAAATCTCCAAAACAAGAGAAAATGTTGTTCTTGTTTTGGTGGACATGTAGTTTGGTGCTGTGGTGTAAATCCAATCTGAATGTTGCTCAGGACATGATGTTCACTGAGGAGGTCTTTGCAGTCGGCTGTTTGCTGCAGAATAATGTCCCCAGGCCGCTGCTGACACACATGCATCGGTAATTGTTTAGGTCAAATTTATTTCCATTTTTAAAGATTGGTGTGATAATTTCTTTGCCCCAGATGTCAGGGAGATGTCCAATGCTCAGAACAAGGTTTCATAATTTTAGAATGACTTAGTTGAATTACGACTGCTAAATTCCAACATTTCATTTAATATACAATCAGGACCTTGTGTGATTTACAGAAAGTGCCATTTTTATCCCATTTTGCTCCCTTTTCTTCTCTATAATTTTAGCGTCTCCAAATGAACGACGCTCCTGATCGTCAGGTTGTCTGTGGTCTGAGTGGTTTTCTCAGACATCTGTATCAAACCACTTTTCATTGGAGACTTTTTCGGATTGGATAAATCTGCCACATTCTCAAATATGTTGTTTATATCCCGTACAGCCTGATTCAGGCCATCAGTACTGTGGTGGTGTATGAGGTGGTAAGAAAATGGTCTAATTGAGATTGCTACTGTTTGTCCATCAATAAGGTTGTTAACTGGGTTCTGGTACATAAGGGTCTGTTACTGTCTTTCTAATGGAGATTGTAATTTCACTATGATCAGATACGGTTGTTAGGGGGCTGACTGTGAATGCTCTCTACCAGGTCTACTAGGTCAGTAATGCTATAATCTACTGTGCTATTGCCAAGAAGAGAGGTGCGTGCAATGACCAAGGGAGTCCTCTCGAAGATGACCGCTAACGATGTACAGGCCCAGTGTTGGACAAAGTTCTCCATGTGGGGATGTGAGGGAGGGCAATGCTGATTTGGGCAGGTGTACGTTTGTCTCCCTGTGGTTATAGAATCTGCTTCTATAGCTGTTCTGGTCCCTGCAGATGAGTACGCTTTCCTGGGCCTGGTAGTGATTGATCTCATCTTCTAGACTGGAGAAACTATTTTCATTATAATAATGGGATTTTGATGGGGGGGTGAAATATGCTGTACACATGCATCTCTATCTGTGGCAACACCCTCTCTCCTTATTTTGTGCCAAATAAAAATTGAGTGTACACGGTTTCCCTTTAAATAAGCATTCCTTCTGAATCCCTGCCCTGGGTTACATTTTTCAGTTTGGTGAATGGGAACAATATCTCTCTGTAGACAAAGGGACAACCAGTGGAAATGTCTCCTCTACGCCACAGCTGCATCTCCTAACTCTTTTGTTAAGTATTGGGTCTCGCTTCAAAGGCCAAAAGCAGCGGATGTCAGGCCCTGGACATTCCAACATAAAAAAAACATAATTATATTTCATTCAGCTTATTTATCAGGCGGAAAGTGGAGCGAATGCAAAATTGAGACTCAATTGAGGTCAAGGAAATAGTATCTATAATTGGATTAAACAATCCAACTTGAACCGACCTGTCAAACCCAGTTTTTTGAGGGCCAATGGCACAATTGCCATGTGTTATATCAAAAGATCCATGGGGTAAAGATTGTTTTTCACATTGCAGAACTATGTTTAGGTTCAACCTGTGCGAAACAGAAAAGATTCAGGCTGCTTTCATTTCAAATACAGAGCAAATCAAATAAGCAGACCAAGATTAATTGCATGTCATTCTAATAGAAGACAGTAACAGCTGATACACACAATCGCCTCCTTACCTGTGAGTCATTTGTCTTCACCATCATGTTTCATGCTCCATCACCTTTCCTCTCATCTCTGAGTGCAACACATAAAAGTTTGATACAAACATAACTTATCTTTATTTCTAGCCCAGGACCAGATGCATAAGCATCAGTATTTACTAAATAGACGAATATGAATCCTATAATGAGTGCTGTGGCTGCATAAACAATGTAAGCAAATGTGATAAACTTGGCAAACCAACGAAAAAGAAACAGCTGCCAGTTCTTTTTATTGCGCCCGAGGCTGCAGACTAATGGACAAGAATCACCGTGGATCCATGTGTGGACTAATGGCAAAGAGATGTGAAAACAGCTGTAAAGTCTTTAAGCACCGTAGTCTCCATTCTTTGTGCAAAACAAGAAAATGTACAATGAGTAACGGATCTTTTTTTTTGTTTATCCTTTTTGTAATCTGAATGTGAGAGTTCTATCAGTGGCATTCACTTCAAGAAAAGCACCAACATCCGTAGCAGGCTTTGGGATTTCGGCTCTTGGCTGGTGTCGAGCTGGCGGCGGTCTTGTTATGAAAATGGATCTGACAGCGCTTCTGGCAAAGGCTGCATCACTGGCATACAAAGAGTGTCCATGCAACACTGTTAACTTCAAACTCAAAGGCGCAAATAAGCACAAGAGTTGGTTTTTAAGGAAGGACGGAGAATAGTCAACTATTCATTATTCAATTATTTGATCATCATCATTTTTATTCTTGTCAGTTTCAGAACAAAAATGTTTTTTTTTTTGCATCTTTTTGCGTAAAGTCGACACAGCAATTCTTCATGTAACCTCAACAACCAATCGTTTTTAACTCAGGACCAAGGAATAATCATTTATCGTTAGGTACTTTATGGAGAACGGCTTGGAATACGTACCGAGCTACTCTCCTGACTGATGGCATGTCTGATGGCTGAGTGCAATCTTCGGTCCTCTGGGAGCAGATTCACCTGCCTTCTGCTCTGGAAAGAAGCAGTACAAGTAGAAAATGAAATTTTAATGAAATTTCTTTCATTAAATCTACAGTTTTGTTGATTCAGACAAAAGTAGATTGTTGCCCTGAATTTGTTCATTTAATACAATGATTTAGCAGGAAGTAATGTCTTTTGTTTCCCCCAGCTCAGAATAACACCAAAGCACACACACTTCCTCTTGTGACACTCGAGACTGTGTAATATTGACGTCTGCAACTAACTATTGACTGACTCTTTGTTCTTGATTAAGTATTAACTACAGTAAAGCCTGCTGCAACAAGAAAACAGAAGTCCTAAGCTCTACATGTGTATTCATGTATCCATTCATTTATAATAATGCTATTATGATGACTTTAGTTTTGAAAGCTGTGGTGCCTTGCAGTCATGACTACAGCCCATTAAGAGGGATGACAATGTGGTGGGTGTTTTGGTAAAAATCAACATATTTGCTACATTACAGCAAAAAAAAAAAAATATAATTTGAGGACAAATCATTGCATATTTGTACACGTAATAAAAGGGAAGCCATGACTTATTGCAGCCTTACAGGAGGAGTGTATCTTCTAACTCTTGAGCACCTATTGGTGCTGTGTCTTGCTCTTCTGGCTCAGCTTTGTTCATAAATCTTGTTGTGCGTTAACAGCACAAGTGTGCAATTAAGGTGTTATGCCATGAATACATTTTCAAAAGGAATTGCACCTTTGGAAAAATGTCAGAAGAAGAGCATGAATAATGAATAGGCCAGCAGGTATCTGTCCACGGGGATTAAGTAAGGCTGCATTTGCACAGCTATAAAACACATAAATAGGATTTATTGCAGAAACGGCATAAAGAAAAATAAGTGGTGCAGAATAAATTTAAAAAAAAGAACATTTGTTTGACAGAAAAGAAGGTATGAAATAATAGCTACAGTAAATATCATTTCTATTTAATAAACGAGTCCTACAGTTAGGTTTTCTACATTATGTATGTATAATTAATCTACCCAGCCATATTACACACACATACTTCTCCTCAAGCCAGCCTCGTGTAGTCACCACTCTGCCCTTCCACCAATCAGATGATTAATTACTTCTAATCACACTGCAGTTTTAGTACGATTTCATTTCCTTTATTCCTTTTGTTTCCATTATTTTAATTGCATATCTGTGCTTCATTTTGTTTTTAATGAGATGTCAGAGTTATAAAAGCTGCGTGCTGTAGCACTCGTAGCTGATGTAAATGAGCTTTAATGGTGGGTTCATGAGAATGTGCAGCGAGGTGGAGATTGTATTTCAATCCTTTGAGAGTGCGCACACAGTGAGACACAAGGAAACAATACTCTTAATCACCAAGCATAAATGGACAAGTTCGGTTGTAAAGTATGATTAAGTATGAAAATAAATTATTACTTGTTAAACATTGGAAAATAAAATCAATCAAGGAGGTCTAATGAGCTAAAGCTGCTGGTTTTCTGTGAGCTATGTCTCATTTAAAAGCTAGAAATAAATGATCTCAACAAAAGTGACCACAACTACTGTAATTTACAACGTGACAACACTCCCGGTGAATATTTCCACTCACCTGTTACATTCGCCTCTGCTTTGCCCAAAATCACACACAAGTGTGTTTCTTTAACTGTAGAGAAAAACAAAATGTGATAAGGAATATGTCACTTCTATGTATCATCAACAATAAACAAGTACAGACTGACGGACTGCATGCAACGTAATATGCAATTGATACGATACATAGCACAGAGCAGTCATTGCATTCCATCACTGTGAAAAAAGTAAACCAATTCAAGGTGTTTTAAATAACATTTTATAGAAGTTTTTTTTAGCAAATTGCTGGAATTTATCTCTATCACTGAGGTGATGTTTAGTTTGCTGGACATTATTTTAGTTTCTTTTATTATTTCTTTTATCACAGTTTAGCTGAATTCCTTATGAACTATTTAGTTAGCGATATGAGTTTTTTTTTTTTATTTGGGGTTAAAAAGGGCAGGTTTACTTTTTTTTAAGTGGAAGTTAGCATTTTCCGATTAAACTAGTGTTATTATTATTAGGGTTACCTTCTTAGGGTTTAGTCTTCCTTTCAGTCCTGTGATCTACACTCTTAATGAGAGCCAGGCTTCAGACGGACTAATCACAAAACAGAATTAAAATCGCGATAACGGACTTTTACAGTTACAGTGCATGTACAGCCTTTTCAGGTTGAATGACAGAAATGCAAAAAGAGGTTAGCAGAGACATCGATGAGTCGGAAAGATACTAGACACAGCACGCCGAGTGCATACTATCAGAGGGTGAATACCAAGATCTACATCCTGTATGGCCCATTGTGCTCTTCACGAGCCAGCCTCACACGCTGAGCGTATCGTTATAATATAGGAGGACGTCTTACCTCTTTTAACTCCATATCATTCTCACAGTCAATCAGTGTCTGTTTAATGATGTAAAACGTCACAGAATGGATTAAGGAGAGACATTTATTAGTTTCCAAATAAGAAAGTGATCAAAGAGTCAAGGACAATTGAGCAGGAATATAAATTATTTAGCAAATTAGTCATTTGGGACAGGTTTGTGGGCTTTCTTTATGAAACGAGTTAGCTGTTACCTGAAAGCAGATGTTCATGTTAACAAACAATTTATAGCTGCATAGCCTCCTATTTAGAGAGTCTTACACACTGCGTTGAGGTTTATGTTATTTTTATTAAATGCTTTATGTACAAATACAGATTACACACAGGACAAGCACTCATTAGAAATGACACACTGTACATTGCTGATTGCTTTCAAACCAAAGAAAAGAATGTGTTTTGCATGTTAACGATCTCACATCTCATATCATTTAAAGTCACAGTATAACTTAGGCTAACTTTAGTCTGTGGTATCAACTCAGTTTTACCATGAAGTCATCAGAGGTTCATAAAGCAGTCAGTTATGGGGAAACTTGAGGTTCGATTTAGATTTCTGAACATTAAACATTTTTATAAGAATTGTTCAGGTCATTTAGTCACTTTGCATTCATGTCTTCATTTCTGGAAAAGGTTCGGTTTCCATCTGTTGTGTTCAGAGCAGTGTGTGGTTCTTAGAATGATTTTTTTTTTTTTTTTGCAAATCCTATAACAAATCAAAGCCGCGGCTGGAATCAAACAGGAAGAGAAAGTTCTGCAAACCAACAATGATCTGCAGACGCTTGAAAAGAACAAAGATGTATTTTCCCTAAGCCAAACAATGAATGCATTTGTGGTCTTGAAAAAGCCAGTCTGTTTCTCAAAAGGTTATGTTTACACTGTCAGGTATTAGTCTGGACAAGATCCACTTAAACCAGGCTGAGCCCACAGCCAGACCAATCTGTGAACTACGGAGAAAGGTGATGGAGGTTGAAAAAATCCTTTTAAATCTGAAGTTAGATTTGCTCTGCAGCTCTGGCCTGTTGAGTCATGTTGGGTGACCCATAATAAGCTGAGCTGGGTTTGTGCGCTGTTTTCTTTTAGGTTTCTAAATTAGAAAAAACTGTCAATATGGGTGCAATCAAGGGTATTTGTCAAACTGCAGGGGCAACTAAAATGTGAAAAATGTGACTTTTGTGCCTTGTTGTTGTTGTCGGCCATGAGATGTCTCACAATGTCACGACAAAAAGACAAGCCTGTTAGGATCCCAGTCTGACAACTTTGACTCCGTGTTGTGTGTTAGGACTCTGAGATCTCTAATCTGAGCATCTCGAATGGCAAAAATATTGTACAGGTGTTGGCTAATAAACCTTGATAATCACTGCATTAAAGGCAATGAAATTAAAGTAATTTGTCAACATCCGAGTCATAACTTAGATGAGAAAATCTGCAGTAAAAATGAAAAAAAACTACCGTCATTTTTTGGGATGGACAGAGGTGGAATGAAGGACATTTAAACAGCCATTTCTAAGAAAAATCTTCCTCTGCATGGATGAATATGGATGAAAGTTTATTTTCATTCCCTTTCTAGATTTTAAATAAAGGACTCTGTCCTCAATGAATAAATAATTGGTTAAGTTTGTAGATTTATGGGGTTCATTTTTATTTCAATTTCTAAAGGAGACAAACAAACAAAAAAAGCAGATGTTACAACATTTTATGAGGAATTAAAAAAAATATATATCAAAAGTTTAAAATTGGAGGTCACATATCTGGAGCACCTTCAGTATCTACCATAGGGATGCTTTCTGTAGCCCCCTCTTGTCAGCCGTAAAACTGGGGCTTTGAGGCTGGGACGGGCAGTCGCCCACTCCTCCTCTGCAAAGACAGTTAAACACACATTGTAGGAAGCTGCTGCATCCACCGTGCTGCCACAAAGTCAAACTGTGAGCTGGGCTAACGTATACTGTCCTCTCACAACCCATTTAACCAGAGACAAGAAAATTCAAGCGAGTAAATTCTGTCCCAGGTACTTTAGAGGCTTCTATCCACGGAAAATTAATTTCATAAGCACTTTGCCCTCTGTTGGACCAATACCGAGATCTGACTGTCAGCAGCGCCTTCCTCGGAGCCAAATTACATAAACACGGCCACCTCTGCTGCACGGCACATTGCACTGCTTCCAAATAAGAAAGTGTTTATGGAGCAGAAAATCAAATTATTGCCCCCTTGGTTTTTGGTTTGGTCCGACCTCAACACCCTGATGCACAATTCATTGTGCTGGAAATGAATGAGCCTGCAAACCTGCTGTGGCAACCGGCTTATCGCCGCTGTCATGTGACAACCTTGTAACTCCACTTTTGGTCATTTATTTTTTTAACATTTTAGTTTAAATGGAAGCTTTTCATTTTGAATAACCATTTGAGGACATTCACATACTCTTTTGCTTCTCTGACAGCAGTGTTGTGTGCACAGCAGAGGTTACTAAGCCAATAGCAACAGCTTTTCTGGAGGAAGCCCATGAGGGCATATATCCAAAAGGCAAAACACTTTTTTTTACAGCGGGCATCGGTTAGCCCCCTGAGCTTCCACTGGCACATTTACTGTTCGAGTCAAATGCAGCTCGTAGCCAGGAAGGTAGGAGGGGTGATGCATGCAGGAGCGGCCCCCTCGGTGACAATGATTTGAAGTGGGCTGGAACCACAAGGCGTTTTCCTTTGTCTCTCTGCTTCACAACATCTTTTAAATATCAGCCCTGCAGCAGCAGTCCGGACTGTGTGACAGAGACTTGGAATGAATTGAAATAAGGTCCAAGGATGTTTCTTAAAAAGTCTGTTTTTAAAATCATACATTGTGTCTACAGATGTGAGTAATTACATTAAACAATAGACTCAAATGACTGTTGCTTTTGTGAAATATTACCGGCTTAATGTCGGGGATAGCACTGGAAAATGTTTTAGCTGACTAGTTGTTATCACACACTGAATGCGTTGCAGATATTGCTTTAGTGACTATACAACCTAATGCTGGACTCTCCTAACAGTCATGATCAAATAACCTACCAATTTATTATTTTTTCAATTATCGGACTAATTCTTTGGTCAGAAAATCATGTAAAATCACAATCACAATTTACTAAAGCACATGGTGACAAATTGCTTTTTTGTCTGACCAACACTCCAAAACCCAAAGATGTTCAATTAACGATGATATAAAACTTATCAAATAACCAACCAACTGTTTAAGCTCTAATTGTGTGATGATGACCGTTTTCCTTTTGCTACGTTAGAAGTAGAGAACGAGAAGGGACGACGACTCGTGAAAAAGAGCGTGACGCGTATTTGGATCGACGTTCAACTCACAAAAACAAAGTTCTCCTTCTTACAGGATAAGCAGTACTTACCATAGTTGTAGGATTCATCACTGGTTCCATGTCGATATTCATAATATTCTGAAATGCTAAATAGACAGAATAACATCAGTCAAAATTCATTTTTGTAAAATGAGGAAAGATGGTGAAATGTTTTGTTTAGGTAAATAGTATTTAAAGTACACATAAGGTTGGCATTATTCTACATGTTCCTTATCATCTACAAATACTGTCTTTAAAAACAAATCTATATTTTTAAAAATATATATAAGGCTACGTTATTTCCTGAAACAGCTGGGCGGGCGCCATAGGTTTTAGCAAACATTCCTCAAACGGGTGTAAATCGTGCATTTGTTGGGGACTATGTTCCGCTGTGGATTAATACACATTTGGTGCTCCAGTGAGTATTTACATCAGCAGGACAGTGTAAGTGGGATTAACTACAGTGCTAATGTTGCTCACTGATGTGTTTTTAATAGTTTTTAGACGACAGTGGAGCTCTATGGCGCAGAGGACTAAGATACATCAGATTTCGGATGGACAGATGATACTGTTTTTGCCTCATTGGCTTTGTTCTTTCTGAGTTGTTGACAATAAGAAACATAAATATCACCAGGCTGATCCTTTATCAAATTATATGTACAAAAGGTCCTAACTCATGATTCAGATTTAATGTTCTGTGTAAACAAAGTAAGTCAAGTGGAGGTCTTAATGTCCTATTGCTGAACATATGTCATGCTGAAATGTACAGCTGGTCACAGTGGACCTTTCACAGGCTGTACTGTAAGTAAACATAGACAGATGGTGATTGGAAAAAACGTGCTTTGTTGTTTATCTACAGTCTGTGTGTGTGTGTGTGTCTGTGTGTGTGTGTGTGTCTGTGTGTGTATCTGTGTGTGTGTAAACGTCACCTCTTTGACGGATTGCTGTAGTTATCCTCATAGGTTTCGTAACTCTCGTCATCATATTCCCCACCATACCCATCATCGTAGCCCTGTGAGAAAACACGCAGTTAGCATTAAAGTCTCATCTCTATCCAGTCTAACTGGTTAGAGGTGAATATAAAAACAATCAATACCTAGCTCCTCAGGCAAAGTCCATTACTTTGTGTCCATAATAAGAGAGGAAACAGGGGGAAAGAAAATCATGTCTAACAGAGAATATTGATTAAGGCTTGCAGGAGAGCATCTCTCACTAGTGGAGCCTAATAGACACCTTCTGAGTCTTAAACCGCAATATGGATCTCAACTGTTGATAAGTAGCTACTCGAGAAACAAAAAGCCAGCGAGTAACTGCAGTCGTGTTCAATAACGGTAAAAATGGCAAAACTGCATGCAGCAAACAGGCAAAGACTTTCTGAATGCTTTGTAGAATGTCTCTCCTCCAACATTGCCTCCTCTTAGCATTGGTTACCACATCTGTGCAGCTATGAAACAGGTAAAACACCTATACAGCGTATTACACTTGTAAAACACATAGCACTGTTGTTCCCTCCAGACACAGAAGAAAGATCCTCTGTTGTGTTCGATGGGGAAACTGAGACATTATCAGTATTGCAAACTAAAGTAAGTAAGTAAGTGGCAATAAGCTGTCAACATGTAGGTTTATTTTTGTCTGCAGTATAAATCCTGTTGCAAATATCGGTGTTGAGCCTCAGACTGTTTTTTTCCGCCCCAGTAATCCGGTTAATGAGTTACATCTACAGAGGACTCAACAAAGTTATGCAAGTAACCTGGTTTTGGAACAATATCAAGTAAACATTGATAATTGTGGCATGTAAACAACTCACTCCTTTCACTTTGGAGTTTTTCCACCTGCATAAATGTTCACATAATCGATTCAGGATCAGCAGCTCTTTCCTATGTATTAGACGCTGAAGTCGCTGCTCCTTTTCATATTTTTTTTATTACTGGTGGACTTGATGGTATAAAAACCACTGGGGACAGGTTGGACATGTTCCTCTCACTTTTCAAAATCCCATTTTGGTCCATGTCACTTTTACACTTTCAGTTGATTTACTCCTGAAGTCTCTTTAATAAACAGGCCGACATCTTTTCACTGTCCTGCTGCCAAAACCCAGATCAGGAGAGGAGTTGATATGCTTTCAATTATGACTGTGCACTCACAGCGATTAAGTTTTATGAGCAGGAGCGAGTGCTCTTGGGCGTTAATGCCCTGGCTGGAGTTTTTTTATTAATCTAAAGAAATAATTGATCCTATGTTTGTTTATTTATAGTTCGTACACTCCTAAAAGTATTCTGGAATTGAACATAAATCAAAGATACGGCACTAAAGGACACATGCCCCTTATACAGAAAGAGCATTATTCACCATAAACTATTCATCATCAGGACTCTACCAAGGAAACTACACATTGTTATTGGTCAGTACAATAATAAAGCAGCAATTTACATTACATTACCTAGGGATAATCAATCTCAGCGGACCAAAGGTGCTCGTAAACAGCTTAACCTGAATAAGTCCTTAACTGGAGCAGGGCCAAGGTGCAGCTGTAGTCTGCTCTTGTAATTGTTGGATCTTGCTCATTGAAAGACATTTAGTGGAATTTGAAGTGCGTACGTTTCTTTTCCATCATGATCTAATCTCTTCTAATCCTTTCCGAGCTTGCAATTTAAAATCAAGCTCCACCGTGATGCACACAAGTGCTCACTTTCTTTGAGCGATCGCCTACATTTTAAATCGGCAGAATGAAATTTGTTGAAACTGCAGTGAAGCTGGATCATTGCCAGACGTGGTTTCAACAGCCTATTATTTCTGTCTGCCTGTAACAATAGAGTAATACCATTTTGCTGTTGATGTGGCTGCTTTTGGTAATGTTTGTAACACCAGAGCAGACACATCAGTGTGAAGGACACAAAGGAAATTACATTCAAGGCACTTGAACACACTCTCCCTCTCCTTTCGGGTAATGCTGAATCCAACGGCTCTGGTTCCTGTGTGGCTTTATTTGTGCGAACATGAATTTGACTAAATTAAAGTTAGGGATTATGTCAGGGATTAAGTTGTTCAGGGGATCCAATACTTCTCATTTCCTTCTCTACAAAGAAAGAGTCAGAGACCTGCGTATCTCAGTAATTGACTGTTTTGTTAGCAATCCCATATGACAAATCGCTCCACACTGGACTGTAAATGTAAAGCGATCGGTGGATTCATTCCAGTCAAATGAATTCTAAAAATAAACCTTCAGTCATGGTAAAGAATCACAGGACTAAAAAGTAATATAAAACTTGAGTTCTTTAAAGCATTTTCTTTAGCAATGACCTGTAATAATACACAGCCCTAATAAATAGTGCATGACTTTTGTAGCAGCACTTTTGGTTTTGCATTTTTTTCTTGGTTTATTTTTTGGAAAATGATTATTTCAAATGAACTATTACGGTATGTAGATGTGTCGAAATGCGTGACGACAAATTAGAGTGGTGGCATTTGTGATGCCACCCGAGCTATCCCCATGAAAACCAAACATCTATGTGCCGAGGAAGACAATGAAATTGAAGTACATGCGTGACTGGTTCTAGACGACAGGATTTGTATAAACAACACAATGCGTAAATACAAGCTGTGACTATTTGCTGTTTTATTTACTGGTTGAATTGTCTGACAGAGTACAGATAAGCAATGTTAGGGAGAAGCAAAGCAGTGCGACACATGTTCTGTATAATTCAGCGTCAGTTCAAAGACGTTCATCACACTCTGATTTATCTCTCTGCTGACCTCAGTATGAGTTTGACCAACAACACAGACGACAAGGTGCTGTGGTGTAAATAGTCCGGCTACTAATTAATGAGGCTGAAGTCCTCGAGTTTGACTCTCATCTGTAAAAACAATTAACACCGGCCCTTTTTCAACAAAGGCAGAGGAAATAAATCAAATGTTAACATAAGGGTGGAGAGTCCTCGCTCAGTGTAATTAGGACAGCGAGAACCTAAAGGCCCTTAGCACTGTGCTTCATTATCAATTGACAACCTGTATGTCCCCTGACAGTGACTGATCTTCTTAGGGAGCTGCCTCTGAATGCCTCTGCACACAGCAGAATGGGGAGGAAAATGAGATTTGCAGCCTTTTGTCTCAGTGAATAGATGCTGCTCTTCACTGCTTACCTGCAAATTCAATCAGCATGAGCCTTCTGTTGCCGGCTACACGCATATGAGTTTACTTTTGAATATATTTTCTCAAATTGTGTCGCGTTTAAATTTGAGAAAAAGGGCACGGGTAATAATATTTCAAGAATAGTGAATTAAACAAAATCATATTTGTTATAGTGGCTCAACAGAGGCTCAAGAACAGACATCTGAAGACTTCTCAGTCTTCAGATGTCAAATATTGTAGTTCTTGGTGGGCTTCAGTCCCTGATGATGCGACTGCTGCTATTATGCATTCGACCGGAGCTTTTCTTCTGTTAAATAATCGAGTGGAAGTGTGTGTCATACATCTATTTTAATAAACAGGAGAGTTCTGCATGGACAATTTCTATAATTAATCTAACAAATGTGAACTCAGCAGTGTATCTGAACCCATTGTTGTAAAGCAATTACAGCAGATGTGCATAAAGGTGGCCTGAGAAACTTCTCTCATTCAAGATATATACAGAAATCTCACGCATCTTTTATGTTCACGAAATAGATGATATGGGGAGAATTTTTCCCCCCATTTCAAAAGGGTGTCCTTTTGCTTTTTCCACAGTAGATAGATTCGATTTTTTTCTTCAAAGCCTCCCAAAGCTCTGTGTTTAATCACATTATGGCATTTCCCGCACGGCCTCGGTATGGTTGCAGGGCTCAGGTTTTAAATACCAAGCTATGCGTTTCAATTTTTACCAGCAATTTGTACAATTCATGGTCTTGCTGTCAGGGACAGAATCCTGCATCACTCTCCAGATCCCTCTCTTCTATCATCATGCTCCGACATTAAAAGATAAGATGTGATCCAGATGGGATTTGATCTTTAACATTAAACTGGGGCCATGGTCCCAGCCTATACAAAATGCCATCAATCACATCTTTAATCTCCTTCCGCTCTCCCTTTGCACTTTTCTCACAGAGGAACTTATACTGATTACAGTGAAATGTCTCACTGCGCTCAACGCTCAGAGGGGACCAGTTTGCACTCTGGGATGCTTTCACTTCCAGAAGAACAGTTGTACTGCTGTGATATAGAGTTTACATATAGTCTACAGAGCACCACATTGTTGGGTCTCTGTCTAAAGTACTCCCACACTTTAGAGGATTCTGGCCGAGGTGTGTTAGCTGCAGCTCTGGGGGAATGCACGCCTTGAACGGGCACAGACATTCTTGCGACTTGCCGATGCGGCTTATGCAAATCGGTGTATTTGTGTAATCAATGACATCGATTATGTCAACGAATCGGCCCTGCCTATGAAGCTCTATGGCACGGAGGAATAAGACAAATCAGGCTTTGGCTACACAGACGATACTTTTTAGTATTCATTTATTGTTTGTTTTGTTTTTTCAATGGGACACAGATAAAATACCTACAGCCTTATCCTTTATCATCCGTAATAAAAAAAAGATCTCAGTCATTTTGTACTTGAACTCTTTCACAGTATTATGTCAAAACAACACTGAGGAGTGCAAATCTGTTTTTGCTTTTGGCAAGGCTGTTTTATATGGTTTCAGAAACTGTTCGACGAGTGAAGTATCGCAGCACTCTGTACACCTGAAAGGCAAAAACCTAACTTGAGTCGTTGCAGAAACAAACTTCACTCCAGGGTGAACATGGTGCTGATGTAGAGGATGTAGCAAGGTGAGATATGTGTGAGAAAGACAACACCAGATGTTCATGAATTAAAGAGCGACTACAATTACCACCTCACTGTTGTATTCCTCCGCCAACCATTTCACATGTCATCGCTTCATTATTTTAACCTGTTTGACGTTTGTGTGAAATTGTCACAATCTTGAGTTATGTGATTGTGAGGTCACGGTAACCTTTGACCACTAAATTCTGATCAGTTCATCTCTTAGTGCAAGTGGACGTGGTTTCTCTGTATTTGTGTGCATGCATGTAAATGTAGACGGTGTATAGCTGCACATATTTATTCATTTATCTTCTCTGTTATTTCACTTATAACTGTTATGTTCATTTTAGACTAAATGTCTTAATTAAAAGACAAAACAGGTATTAAGAAAGGTAGTCTTTATCATGTGGTTATCTCTTATATATTATTATATACTATTTATTTATTGAATGACCAGAAAACAAGCTATTTTGTGATGTATATCGTTATCGAGATAGGAATTATATATACTATATTACCCAACTCTACTCCAGACGTCTCTGATAGTCGTATCGTGTTAAAGGATAATGGACCAGACAGACAGACGGACAATCGGAAAACATAATGCCTCTGGCCACAGCTGTCATGGAGGCATAAAAAATGCTACATGATTACTACCAGCTTCCTCATTCTTCCCATTTAAGTTTTAAATCAATACCCCCCCTCGATTAGATATGATTATGGACGTTCTCACAGTATCACTTTTATGAAACAGACGGACGGTTTGACAGAGTCCATCAATCAAAGGTCTCTGGAGAAATGTACAGGTACACGATACCTTTTTTTTTTTTCCCCCTACAGACAAATACAGGATGTCGCAACAAAGGGAAATCTATTGCTGCTGATGTCTTATTGTGTTTCAGCAGATTGTACAGCATCTTGTAAGCTCAGTGATTGAAAAGGCAAACAAACCAGGACCTTTTGTATAAAGAGGTCGGGCTACATTCTGGAAACATTCTTGAAGAAAATTGTGTAATGTAGTAGGAAAAAAAAAAGAAAAAACGAAGCAAAGTGAGATATGAGGGAAGAAAATGTTCAGGACAAACTCATCTTTCCATAATCCCCTAGTCTCTGCGCTCCCACCCTTCTTTCCAACCTCCAATTACAAAGAGAAGAAATGCCTCGCTTTTTACTCCTCAGAAATATACAGGCTCTACATCAGAACTCAATTTGGTTTGGTAATGAGACTGCGCTTGTGCATTTCCCCATGCAGACAGCCCAATCTTCAATTGCCAGCACACATGGGGGCTTTGCTTAGCAGGAAGGCTCTGAGGAAATAGACTGGTAAAAGTGTTGCCTTTTTTCATTTGGATGAAACTTAGAGCTCACCGTGTGTAGTCTTCTCAAAATGACCTTGAGATATTCTCAAGATCTGAGGACAAGCACACTTTTAACTGGAGCCTTGAGTATTTCTTTGTGCGGATCCCCAGCACTATTTCAAGTGATGTGAACAAAGATTTCATAGACCACTGGTCAAGGTAATCCCCACTCCTCCTAAAAGAATATTCTCTTTGTTTGCCTGTAAATGGTAGTCACAGTGCAGAGCTTCACGTGTCAGACAAATTACTTTGTTTGTATGACACTCCACTTCAAGGTAACTTATAGTGATGTTGTAAAGCACATGTTTATGCTATATATATATACTGTATATCTTTTTTTTATAGGTTTTAACCCACTATAAAACCACATTTACTTTCCTGCAGTTGCCACTTTGTAGGCAGCCGTTTTATTTCACCACAGAATGAACATCTACGAGCTGCAAGCAGGCGCTGATTTAATAGCTCATTCCGGGCACTGACATCTGCTGCTGTTACACTTTCAATGCACAAGTGACCAAATTCACATCGCGCCAAAACATGTTTGCTTTTCACTTGTCCTATAGAGATGACTTTCTGACATCAGAATGTCAATGCTTTCTGGCATCAACCCTTTTGTTTTAGACTGTCGGTTCTTTTTTTTTTTTTTACTGGAGGTTTTACCACATCAAGTAAGGTGACATTTACATCAAACTAGATGAAATAAGCAACAGACATTGAAATCACCATGTGCTATGAAATATGCAATTAGTTTGGAAAAATGAGTTTGCAACGTTCCAGATGCACAGCAGTTAGAAATAGCAGCTATCAGAGCAAGTGATGGAGAGATTTGTCTCAGCAAATACAGCTGAAAGCTGATACATCTCGCACATCTCGTACGTCTCAGCCCTCAATACAGTCTGACCTGAACTAAAATCTGTCTGTACAGTGAAAGATGCTTCGCTTACAGCTCTTTGAAGACAGGGAAAGCTAGCTGTGTTTGGAACTAAAGTGGCACAGGTGAAAAGAAAGTTCTTGAGACAAAACTCTCCTCTTTAAAGGCAGCAAAGGACAAAGAGAGTTAAATGGAAAAAACGGAATCATTGGATGATGCTGTGTGTGCATATTTTAAATCCTTGAAAGCCTGAGCTGACTTCAATTTTGAACAGAAATTTTGCCTCTTTACACAACTCCAATGGATTTGAAATTAAGCACTCAATATGTGGTTGAAATGTAGACTTTCAGCTTTAATTCAATGGAAAAAAATCATCACAATAACCGTTTAGGAATTACAGCCATTTTTAAATAGCCTCCCACATTTTCAGAGGCTCAAAAGTAATTGGACAAACTAACATAATTGTGAATATAATCATTATTTTTAATACTTGGAGGAAAATCATTTGCAGTCAATGATTGCCTGAAGTCTGGCACCCACAGACATCACTAAACGCTGAGTTCCCTCCCTTGAGATGCTTTGCCAGACCTTTTACTGCAGCCTCCTTCAACTGATGCCTGTGTGTGGGTCTTTCTGCCTTCAGTTTTATCTTAAGTAAGTGAAAAGCATGCTCACTTGGGTTGAGATCAGGTGACTGACTTGGCCATTGAAGAATATTCCATTCCTTTGCCTTGAGAAGCTCTTGGGTTGTGTTCACAGTATGTTTTAGGTCGTTATCCATCTGCACTGTGAAGCTCCATCCAATCAGTTTTGTAGCATTATGCTGAATCTGAGCAGATAGTTTAGCCCTACACACCTCGGAACGTATCCTGCTGCTTCTATTAGGTGAGACATCACCAATGAACACCAGTGACCCAGTTCCATTGGCAGCCATACATGCCCATCCAAAGCACTGCCTCCACCAGGTTAGACAGATGCTGTGGTTTGTTTCAGATCATGAGCCGTTCCTTTCCTTCTCCACACTTTTCTCTTCCCATCATTCTGGTACAAGTTCATCTTGGTTTCATCTGTCCAAAGAATCTTTTTCCACAACGGGTCAGGCTTTTTTAGATGTTTTCTGGCAAAGTCTAATCGGGGTAATACCTGACTGTATCTTTGGTTTAAAGAAGAAGAGAAAATGATCCCTACATTGTGATTTCTTTCCACCACAACATGCAACTACATCAGACTCCATACTAACTTACCAACAAAAGATGAAGATAATATATTCTTATCACCGTTTAAAGGTACGGTGTGTAGGATTTGGTGGCATCTAGTGCTGTGGTAGAGGCCACGTTCATATTATATTACATTTTTTGCTAATAGATCCCCCGAAATGCTACACTGGCCCTTTAAGTCAAGCAAGCAAATTTCAATATTATGCTGATATAAATGAAAATCAAGGGTGGCTTGGATCCAAAATCATTATAAAAAAGTTTGGTATGCTTTTAAAATTAATTAAATTAAATATATATTTCATTCATTTCCTGCTTGCCCTAATTTTTCAAACACATGTCCCTGAACGCCCTACCTCTCCGTGTAAAGCAAGACTCCTCCAGATCACAGGGAAGGAGATTAAACAAGTCTGACTTACACACAGTTCAAGTAAAATTATAATCAGCCATACTTTTCACTGTGTGCAAAGAGGATTGGACTCACATATTCGTCGTATGATTCATGTGTGACGGCTAACAGCGGGGGCCTGTATCCTGCGCTCCCCGCTGCCCCCCTGGCCCTCGGGGCTTGCACCTCCCTCGTTGAAACAGCCGCGGGAAGTTTGCTGTGCGTCGCTGCCGCCGTCCCCCGAGGGCCGGCTGCACTCCTTCCTGTGCCTCTGTGGCCCCTGGTAAAGCAAACAAGCAGACAAACATGCCGTCAGTTCGCCTTACTAATCTCACTCCACTCAACGTTTCAAGCTGCAGTGGTTTCAGAGGAAAAAAGTGGAGTGAAGACATTAAGAAATCTGTTAAATCCCTCTTATCGCTGCACATGTGCAGGCTGCCTCGGACGCTGGTTGTCATACAGTGAAACACAAGATAAGCATAACCTCTGCTGGCACCGAGGTAGATCTTGTAATGATCAGAGGGCTCAAGAGTGTCACTTTGTGTCTTTGTCAGCTCTGCAAACATGCCTGTGGGACTGCACGCTGCGTGGTTCTTTCAATAACACGGCGGAGCAGTGCCTAGCATGTGTTTGTCCAAAATTACACCTCCATCTGCCTGAAGCTGCAGAATACACTCAGGTTGTAGTAGAGAAAGGCCGAAGGACAGGCTTGAGGAATTTAAGGTGGACTGTTTCTTTTATGGAGGTGTGACTGTCCAGTAGCAGAACCACATGAACACCACAGGGTTTGAAGGGTGGATTTAGCATCGCAAAGCCATCTATTGTCTGCTAACTTAGCATTTTAACAGCAGCATGATGTAGGTGGGCTAGGATACCCTTTCTTCCTCTGGCACATCCTTCACTAGGTAGCAGCCCATTGTGATCCAAAAATACAGACACTCAAAGGGGAATTACTGGTGCATATTTTTCATGGAGATTTACAATAATCGTTTATCGTTGCGCCACAAGGGGAAAATCTAGGTAGAGAAGTGGTGGTGGTGGTGACTTTAAATTGTGAGCATCCCATGTTACTGCAGGATTTAGCTCATCCATATGTGCTGCCTGAATTAGGCCAGGCTGTCATGGCAAACTGTGCCTGCATGGTTATTCCTGAGGGACCGCCACGTCTCAGGTAGATTATGGACAGTTTGCTCTAGAAACGAACTTAAAAGGAGTCTGTATGAGGCCCGCGTTTCACACGAGCAGCTGCATGCATGGCTAAGCCAATCAAACGCTCTCTGACAGTATACGTGTTTCTGTAGCTGGTCCTGCCTGCATCCTAAAATCCCCTTGAGCTACAGAACAGTACATGGAAATCAAGTAATATGTGAGTTATGAAGAAGACATAACTGGGGGAAAAATTAATTGAAAGGGACATACTGTTTAAAACTATCAACTACAACATGAGAAGGAAGAGAACGAATAACACGTATATATGAATTATTCATATGTTTGTCAGGGAACCAATTAATCTGAAATTCACCATGAAGGTGGCTACATCCTTCTATATTATTAAACCATGTATTCACAACACTGCACACCAACATTTTGTTTCGAATGTGTCATATTGCCGTGAATAACAAATGTGTGGGGTTGACTACTTTTGGATAGTTGCACAACTGATTTAGAGGAAAACTACTCAACCTGTGTATGATATCAACAGTCGTATGGTAAGTTCTATATTGCTCTAAAGAGAACTTCCCCCCCTTCTTCTCAACTTAAATTAGAGAAACAAGCCATTAGCCAGGGGGGATGTCTCTAAAAACATTTTGAAAAAACCTGCATATCAGTCGTTTGATGTTTGAGTTTGTCAACCGGAAAAAAAAGAAATACAGGTTTTGAACATTTTTAGACTTTTGGATATAGTATTTTGCCAATATTATAATTTGATTCATGACTCATTCTGTGTTATCCGTTATGAGTTATATTTTTCCATAAAGATTCAGTGCCAAAAAGAATACAGTGCCAAAATAAGAGTTTCTTGGTGGCACTTACAAAAACTGCCGTATGTACACAGATGTCATTCTTGTACTTCCAAAGAAAATGATTGTCAAGTCTGAGAAAATAGCCCTGATGATAAATACCCCTTCACCTTTATACAAATGATTAGTCTTACCCTTTAGGACAAGTGTTTCAGAAGTGTTTTGAGATGAAGACTGTTGTTGAACTAAATGTTGAACTTTAAGATGCCCTGATTATTGTGTTCACAAAATACTCGGAGCCCTTTTCTTTGACACTGTGCTTTACCCCGTGGATGCTGCGGTTGCTGGTCGTACGCTCCTCCCCTGTGCGCTCCTCCCTCTGCCCGACTCGTCGGAGCCATTGAGCAAGGAGAGCTCTCTCAGTTGCTCCTGTCTGATCTCGTCATTGTAGTCCTGCGGGAAACAAAATACAGCAGGTCTGAAAAACAAGGGCATTTGTCTTCCGACTGCAACAGACGCTCGCAACAGCAGCAAATGTCACGTAATCTAAATGGTCTTGACGCACACGGGAACCACACGGCGTTGCTGAGCGTTGAATACTCAATGAGGAATGTTCTCTTTTGCTTTATGTTTGGACGCTTAATGCAGCAGAGTGATTAGTGAAAACAATAAATATTCCTCAAATATAGATGTGGATTCATTGGTAGCGTTAGGTTTGTTTGATTTTAAAAAAAGGGGTTGGCAGAACTAATGTGTGAGTTTTTGACAAATTGCCTTCCGGATGACTGGAAGACAAAATAACCAACGTAATCTGATTTCCACATAATTTCCCAAACCCGTATGTTGAGAAGAACGAGGACATGAAAGGGAAATTACATTTAAAAAAAACCTACTTGTCACTTTCAAGCAACAGAAAAATATAGTCGGCACACATGCCGGTAATTGACAGTTTCAACAACTTTGTGGGGAATATTGTTATCTTGTGATTCTGAACCCATTTTTCCTCAACACGTTATCAAACATTACATGGCTCAATATGCAGCAGATAGGGGAGTGGACAAAGCAATATTATCTTGTCATTGCTGACAGATAAACAGGCTTATTTCTCACAAACACATAAGCAAAGCCAGCACGATTTCATACCTCGGGCAAAATGTTTTCTTTTTTATATTGACAACAAAGCGACAGAGGCAGCAAACCAACCAACCCTCAGTGTTTTTGACAGCCACATTTTGTGACTTTGTTGGGTCTATCTGACTGTATGACTGGGTGTCAGGTACTGGAATGAGAGCAAGAAAGCCTGAAAACCTTCTGTCAGGTATTTGAAAATATATAAAAGTCGCCGTAGACAAAGCCGGACCGACGGCTTAGACCCAGTGTGCAAGAGTTTGTTTCCAGAAGTGTGAGACCGTTCAAGAGTTGAAAACAAATTCTCCTGGTCTACATGAATTTTTCCAACATGGAGTGAATGACATCTTTGTGAGAGCGTTAATCCGACCAGTAAATCAACTGCACATTAATTCGCGAGGTCTTATTCTGTGTAGAGTGCGTTGATAAGTGAAGGACAGACCGTTAATGGGTGTGCAGGCTCTGTTCGAGGGAGATTACAGCTCACACATACACTATAATCTAGGCTTTCTGGTGAATTGTGTCACCCTTTACTTTCTTTAATGCCTTCTATTCATGCTACTCTGTGTATTTCCATTATATATCTAAGCCCACCTACACCACACAAAGTCATGAGGATATCACTGCAGAGTGTTTGCCCACTCAGTGATTTGCATGTTTGTCACTGAATGTAATCAGATCTTTAACAAAAGCCGATTATTCGAATTCAATTGTTATGTGTGACGGGCAAAAACTGTAAACTTGCATATTCATACACCTTGCACATGTAATACCAAACTTCAGCATCATTGTCACATTGTGCCAGCTGTCCTTCCACAGTAATAGGATAGGTGCCATACAGGGACCATATGATGAACAGATTTTGACTCACAGAAGAAGAAGGAGAAGAAAAAAAATCCTCACGGCAGATTCCCAAAACACTTGACACACTGCACACATGTGCTTCTCTTGTTAATGAACTAATAGGGCTTACAGCGTTCTGATGGTTTGAAGGAGACCGGCAGGGCTTTTAATTGGAAAGCTGGCAGCATATCCAAAGCACAACAAATCTGCCAGAGCTTGTAAAAGTTGACTGTTGACAGAGTTAACATGAGTAGATAAACCCCATGCTGAGGCTTCTCGGGTCAGACTGTTTGCTGGCTGAGATTAATGCTGACCATGCATGACCTTGTACACACACAAGATGCCCTTCACAGAGCTAAAGTTAGACTTTAAGGGGTCGGGACAGGAAGCCCGGCGATACCAATCCCTCTTGTGTGTGCGTCTACACCTGCTACACGTCTCTGTTGCTGGCTGTGTTGACTGATTTCCCTTTCTCGACTTTACATCTCATTGATACGCGTCTGTTGGCTGCAGGACCGTTCATGAAAGAACTGCTCCTACGTCCTTGGGCATTTTTCTGACAAAAAATGTAAATGAATTTGAATGAATTTTTGGATAATCAATCTCAGTGGAAGAGATGTTGATCTCCTCTGAGACCTCAGGGCATCAAGTGATGTGATTGTACTGAGTCAGTACATACCTCCATGGAAATATGAAATAGATAAACAAACAAAGACATCAAATCAATCCCAGTTTTTGAATCAGCCTTGTGTCACTCAAGTATGTTTGCACAAGGAATTGCAAGGAATGTGGCTTGGTGATTGGTGCATGACAATAAACCCAGTGCAATAGCATAAGACGTAATTGAAAATAAAATGTGAAAATGTACATAGAATATGATAAACAAACAATACTAAAAATAAGTCTGTTATTATAGTGTCAAGTGTTGGATGTGTAAATGTATGTCTGAGTCAGTGGGGGTCCCAGGCTTAGTTGATGAGCCCAACTAATATGGTTGACTCAAGTAAGCTACAAGGACTATTTGATAATGAGATCAGTACTGTCACATGTGAAGATGTCGGATGTATGTGTGTCAGGAGATGCCGTGGTTTCTTTGGATGACAGAGCTGAGAATTCACTGGTGATATACAGCGTGTTGATAAATTCAGATTTATGGCACCCAGCGATGTGAATGAACCAATTTAAATTTCCAGCAGCGACCAAAATGTGTGTTGAAATGTATCTCGGGTTAGATCAGCTGACAAAGAAATCTCTCACAGTGTCGTGTCTGCATTGCTGGAAGGGCAGAATTTACGAGTGTGTAATACATCATGTTCTCTTTCACAGCCGGCACGCGGGTCAATTTACAGGGACACATAGTTTTCCGAATATTCACTCATATTGCAGAAATGACAGCCTGGGACGATGAGTTTGTTGAAACTCCCCAAAAATGATTTAATCTGTGTCAACTTCCAAATATACACAAATGGTTGACTGATATTGTTGCAGGCCATGCTATATTAAAGTAACAACTATTTGCTATGGAAAGATATAGTGGAGTGATGTCTACCTGAGCATAAATAAAGGCGCTGCCTTTCTCTCTGTGTGTTGTTATCCGAGCTTCTCTTTGCTTTGTTGACATAGCCGGGCCCGCCGCACGTGCACGTCTGTGTATGTGAGCGTGCCCCACTGGTTAGCTCGTGGCTGCTGCTCTGCACTGTTCTCATACGGCGGTTACAGCTGATAATGCTGTCTCGACCAACTGTAACCGTCATCACGGAAACGTAGCACCCACCCTCCGGTTCCCCTCAGGTAAGCACTGTCAGCATTTTTGTGTAGTTTTGCGTTGCTGTGTTGAGAGGCAAATGAAAGGCTCGCAATCTCATATCTTGCACCTTTTAAATGTAAAAGCAGTGGGGAAAGAGACTTCAAGAAAGACCAGTGCATGGTGAGTGGATTGTTTTTAGGTGGCGATCTGCAATAAGACCAAGGGTAAAATAAGATCTCAGAGACTATAAGATCTCGGAGACGACGTTAATTCCTACAGTGCACAGCGCATGCTGTGTCTAAACACTAAAGAAGGTCTGAAAAACCCATCACAGTACATGCTCTTGCATAACAATCTACTGAAAGATGTTCTCATTCTCCCAAAGCCCATCAGGCCAGTTGAACCAGAGGAACAGAAGCAGCTGCAGCAGCTGTTTATCTGCATCTTGATATGACGTTTTTGAAGTGTTCTACTGTATGTACATACACTTATCACTATGAGCCGCTCATTTCAGTTCCAAACAAATGAACTGGCTGATCTGGACTTGAATTCTGTATTTGGTGATCCCAGAAGTTTACATTTATGAATCTTCATTATTTGGCCCTTTGCTTGTGCATTTCACTTCATTGTGCCGCTTCGTGACCATCAGTGGTGACTGAATACAGAGAAGAATCAGAGCTACTTTTGAGATCCTAATGCAGGAAAGCATAAGTGAACCATAGTGTGATACCACTACTCCTAAGAACTGCATTTACCTATGCATAGTGCACGAGCAGAACAAAATCTACAACCAATGCACAGTGGAAAATGTATTCTTACTCATGTCGCGCTCTATTAAAGTGAACTCTACACAAATTGCACCCTCATTCATTCCACAGTAGAATTGTTCCTGCATTGTTAAGAACAGTCTGGATCTTTGCTGAAGAGAATAATGCAGAGGACTGTGCATACGTGCTTGCCTCTGCAGCACCAGGCCAATCTTCAGAGTTGGTGCGTAGGCTCTTTCTTCGGGATCAAATGGATTACATTAAATTCAAACACAAAACAGACAGCTTTAATAGCATGTATATTTAGCTTTTGTCTTGAAAACAAATGAGTACCACGTATCTTGTTTGGCCCAAGATGAAGGCCACAAGCTCATCCAGCTGAGAGCAGAAGCTTCTGTCCTTCTCCAGCGCCTCTTGCTCTCCTCCTGTAAATACTGTATTCCACTGATTAGGTTCCTGTTTGCTTGCATAACTGTGAGCTGACAGCACTGACAGCATTTCTGCAGTCAGATTTTGCTTCACGGCAGATCTGAGGGCTCCCGCTCAGACGAGCTTTCTCTCCTCAGTCGCTTCAACGACAGTCAGGCAAACTGTACTTCTGCCCGTGTGTTCAGTTTCTGCTCAGGACTAAATGAATAACACGCTAATGATGCATGTGAAATTGTATTTGTAAATGGTCACACAGCTTGTTCATGTGATTGTTATTTTGTAATAATTGTGAATTATATTATAAGGTTTTTCATATCCGAAGAAAAGAAAATTAATATTTTTTCCTGTTTTGTAGATATGAGCTCAGTGGGACGCAGGTTTTACTTAAAACATATTTGTTTTCAGACATCATTGTGGGGGGGGGGGGCCACATTAAAATGGTTTTATTTTGGTAGAAGATGGAGCACATTTGAGTTTTTGTTCAGCGATAGGTGAGAGGAGAGAATAGTAGAAATGAAGGGAAGCACCACAAATCACTCACCTCCGCTCACATGCTGTGGTACAAACTTAGATTTTCAGCTGCAACCAGCAGTGTAAGTCGCTTAACCACACAAGCGGCATTGTGGGAGCTACACGTGTCCGTGATCGTGCCTGCTGCATCGCTTTGACCTGAGTTTGGTTTCTGAAGCATAATGTCACACCAGAAGGGGTAGATTGGCCTCTGGAGCAGTGCTAGTTTCCCTGATGGCCCGGCAGTGAAAAGCAGTAGTGTTGCACACCAGCTGGCTCGTATCAGGCATGTTTTTAGCGGGGTCATAAATTCAGTCCATCTTTCCTCCTGGGCCAACTTGTGTTTGATGCATTCTACATTTCACATGCTTAGCTGGTAACAAATTGATGTCAAATACATTAAAAAAAAACTATTCACACAATTTAGAATTGCTCTCCTCCAACATTGTGCAACCAGGAATAGACAGTTTAAAACAAAACAGATTAAACACATTTTTCCTCCTTGTCAGAACTGGTGGCAACATTACCCACAATGCAACACGACCACTGACAGTACGATTGGAGTGTTATGCTTGTAGCGGCCTAATGCAGCCTCTAGCCTCAAGGGGAGATGAGCAGCTGTATAAAGGTCTCGTAAGCTCACAAACTCCCCACCTCCAGATCTGTTTCATTTTGAAACTTTCAACCAACCAACCACATAAATGAAGTCTGATAAATTGCCTCAAGTGATGTCACTTGAGGCCATTTAACTGACTTCACACAGCTTCCTCTGTGGCCACAAAAGGATTTACAGCTTATTTATTTGATATATTCAGTAGTACTCCCCAACACCAGTAAACAGTCTTTGATGTGTTAAATCTGTGGAGTTCCTCTTAAATTAATCAGATCGAATAAACAAATTTACATTATTTCTGCCTTTTGGAAATATAAGAATTACAAGTTGAATTAACAACAAGTTGGTAAATCCATGCAGATTATTTTCAACCAAACCAATCCCCAATAGAAATGTACTTGAAGTATCACTCTGACAACACAGTAACCATCTCCGTCCTACACAGTGAAGCAATAAAAACAAGAAACAGCAGGACGCACTTGCCACTCTCCACCAGAGGCATGAAACATCTGTCACTATGGATACTGACATATGCCTGTTGTGCTGCATTATGTGCAGTTTATTTGCAAATCCATAAGATCCCTGAAGCAGCAAGCATGTGCTATGAAATAGATGGTATGGTCTTTATTTTTTACGTTTGTTATTGACATGTGGGCATGGTACAAGCTGAATTTAGGGACAAAGTGTTTTCCTCTTTTCTAACTTCACTTAATATTCTGGGGTTACGTCCATACTCACTGTGAAAAGACAATGATGGAAGCAAAATGTAACTTTGATTCATGTTTTTTCCCCTCGATATTCATTAACATTAATAATAATAATCAAGCAGCACTGGAGGTTTTAACAGTGCATTCTCATCCACAGTAATGATTTTAAGCCCTTTTGTCACTTTGTTAAATCTTCCTTTAGTCACCCTGCATAATTAGTTCTTCTGGCATATTTTCACAAAAGAAACTGTTGTCTAGCCTTAAATGTCTGTGCTTATTGAATGTGTGCACCTATTAAAAAAATAAATGTATTACAGCCAATTCTGTGTGTACACTAATTAGAAAGCCTTGCTGCACTCTTGGTAGAATAATTTAGAATACGCAGTACCCCATCTTTTCTCAAGTTACTACAATGAAGCGAGAGTTGGTACTCTGCCACAATACATTTTAGATTCTTGGAAAGACTGTATAGAAGTAAAGCAGGCTTGTAAGAATATAGACTCGGTGTAGGTAAAAGCATGGAATCCATAAAGTAGACTCATCCGGCAAAATTCCTCTATTAGGCTTGTCACATTGGCAAAGCTTGATTAATATTTTCAGCTTGAACTCAGCAAGAGTACACAACATGCACATTAATTATTGCCATAATTCTCCGGGCTATAAGTTGCTGGAGTCTTGCAAGTTTTTCCATACTGCACTTTAATTGCTGAATACATTATTTTTCATTTGTAAATGAGGGAATGCAGTGGTTGTAAAACAGATAAAGACCACGCATATCTACCTCTTGTGTTAACAAACCCTGGATACTGTAAACTCTGTGTTAGTCAGCCTGGTGGGGGGAAAAATCAAGTATGCAATAATGACTGAAGTTCGTATACCACACAGGAATGAAAATTAGGAGGAAGTATTAAACTTACTGGAACTAGGAATTTTTTGATCTCCTCCAAGGCGTGACTCATGCGTGAATAGGCCTCTCCAGGTGGAGCAAAGACTTCAATTAAAACATGAAGATCATTACTCAGATGGACGTATTTGGCCTCCCCGCTTTTCCTTAATTCTTCTTCCTGTGAAAAAAAAGAGAGCAAGTGAAGGATTTTAACTGTAATATAAAATACACGTTTAACAACATTAGAATAGTGGTGTTAATTGTAACAAATACCATATTACAAACTTGTTTGGATTAACATGTAGTAACTTCACTGTGTCATCAGGTATTTATTTGGAAGTCAATTTTCTTTATATTGTACAATGCAGGTTGATGTGGAACGGTTATGACCTGTTGATTTCATCTTCAGTCCACCTATGTTATACAAAACTAAATATATAATGGATAAAACATGCATTTGTCATTTAATTATATGGACATTTAATGTTTGATTAATGACTAGAGACAGTTTGGACAATTTTGTGATGCAACTGATAATGCAAGTGGCTCTTTGTGATGATTATACTTGGGCACAGCAGTGGGGTGAGCTAAATGCTTATGTCAGCATGCTAACATGCTCTCAATGATAATGCGAACATGCCGATGTTAAGCAGATAAAACGTTTACCATGTGTACTCTTTAGAGTGTTAACATGCTTACATTTGCGAATTTGATCTAAACACAAGTAGCTTTGCAGATTTTTATAACCAAAGTACTGGACAAATAGCAATTTTGAAGTCGGAGGATCACTTATGTCAGTAGTTGTTTTCACCCTCCGGGTACAACGAATGACTGCACACAATTTTATGACAATCCATCTAACAGTTGTTTAGATATTTCAGTCTGGACCAAAATGGTGGACTGCCCAACAAACAGACGGACATTGCCACCCCCCAGAGCCATGCTGCTAGCTCGGTTAAACATCAACATTTAGCCAACAAAAGTATTTCTGCTCAAAAATCATTTTGAAAATAAAGAGAATTTGCTATTTTTTTCGTCCTTTCATCATAATCACCTCCTAAAATAACAGGCCACAACCCACAGTAACATTTATGATTTAGTTTCAAGACAAGAGTAACTTGAGCAATCAGCACATTCATCACTAGGAAGACGCCTTTTCCTCACTTTGCGTAAGGAATAACTTGACTTCTAGAGAATAATTACTGATCATCTCACAACTACAGGAAGAAACGACAAGAATAACAGACTAGATAGTAGAGCTCGGTCATAGAGTCTGGCATCGGGACGCTGTTAGGTATTTTCTTTGCCCCGATAGAAATAGCATTTTGTGATTTGTTGTGATGACCGCTCTGCAGACTCCACTTCAAAACAGCTCCTGGAAATGTTTAAATGGATTGACCTCTTGTGACTCAGACATGGCATACAGTTCAAGTCATGAATTTGTGACTGCTTGTGCCAAATGGATTTGAGGAGAAATCAAGGAGAAAAAATGACAGCAATAGTGCCCTTCAGAAGGGAAAACAAGGGACAAACAAAAGATACTGATGCTGTATCAGAAATTGACACCACATACAGATTGAGGAGGGCTTGTGTCAGAGCCGGCCAGAGGCATGAGCGAACTAAGCGGCTGCTTAGGGCCCCATGGCAACCAAAGGCCCCCAAGAGCACCTGAAATATCCCACAAGAGAGCTTGATGCACAGCAGCCTCTGTGTGGACCAGTCCTCATAGGCGCACATCGTTTTAAAACAAGACAATGATTATCTAGTCTCACAATACAGGTATAGTTACAACTCTGGATAAATGCAAGATGGAAAGCAGTTGAAATGTTGATTAGCTAGGCATACTGCAGGGTGATATATTGATATATAGATGCATGCACAACTCTCAGTAAATGATTCAGCCTAGCCCTAGTATAAATAGTATAATGTATAAAAGGAAAGCTGGGGGAGCCAGTTTGAATGGGCCTCATACAGCTGATGAAATGGTATTGCTATTTACAATAGGTGCAGTTCCATTTCATTTTCTACAATAATTGTATAAGATTACTCTCTGAACATCCCAGGAACATCCGAATTGATAAAGTTATTTGGCCATGTGTCCAGATTCACTTTATCGAATTATTACTAATTACAAAATTCCCCCCAAAAAGAAAACACAATATTCTATAAACTTTGCAAAATTAAAACATAGAGAATTTCACATTTGTGTTTCTGACTGGTCCGAACGTCTCTCATGTTGCTGGATTAATGTTCTAGTGAAGCTCTTCAGTCTTATCAATCCTTACAACAACAAAGCTCCACAGGATGGATGCAAAAAAAAAAGAGAGTAAAATTAGGAATGCAATGAGATGTTCAGTCTGGACAGGCGGCATCGAGTTAAAGCAAGTCTACATGAAGGCACTGAAGTAAAAAAAAAAAAAAAAAGTCAATCCAAGCTCCTAATGCAAACTGTTCCCAAGTCTGATAACAAGAAAAGCCTAATCACCTTTCAATCTTAATCCGGGCCCTGAGGGGCCCCTGCCTGGGGCTTCACACTGGCTTTAAGGTTCTGTAATATGGCTTGGAGACAGTCCTAACTGTGTTTGTAAAGGAACCGATTAACTCATCAAATCGATCCTACACTGAACAAATAGTGTTGTGATGTCAGACCTGGAGTGGAGACATTTTTGCTCCATACTTCATTTCTTTGAACATGTTTTTAATAATCCTGCACTGCAACAATTGGGTGGTGAGTGCTTTGCTCAAGGACAGCATGATGGTGGCTGTTAAGAGAAGCGAGAGTGCCACTCTCCCAGCCAATTGGGTTCAAGCTTTTGTCCTTGCATCAATGTTCCCTATACCCTCCAGGAGAAATCAGCTTTAATTAAAAATCATTCCTAAAATTTCAGCAGGCTTCACATTCACTGTCAGAGAGTCGCTATGGATCAGATCAAAACGTGCATGCTGGCGGATGATCGTGTCTCTGAGTTCTTTCAATAGTTTGTCACTGAAATGTTTGGGAGTTTTACAGCAGGAGCAGCACACACAGAGCAGAATCAGTTACCATGACTGGAGTATGCCTGCTTTTAATCAATCAATATTAAATGTTATAAGGACTTTAGGAACTCGGGTGATAATATTCTTTCTAAACCTTGCAGGGTTTTGTTTCTGGAGTGAGGAAGGTGGAATGAGGACTCTCTGCTTTAACTCGGCTAATATCCGTGCTCACGGTGTTATAGAGACCATATGGTGTGATATGTGTGGGTGGGCTGCTCCCATGCAAAATTCCAAACCTGAGAAATTACCTTTCGGCTCCACAAATGCACCCTACCGACCAACTGGATGAGATGGCAGAAATGTGCGCTCACAACTTGAGCTTGTAATGGGACTTTTGCCACGTTAGTACCACGCTGCCTTGTGACTAAGCGGCCTGGAGTGGCAGACAGACTTTCAGTCGTGACTTCTAGGTGTCAGTCTCATCACAGAGTCCGCCCAGACTTGCCCAGACTTTACAAATCAATCAATACGGCACACAGAAAGCACTAAGCTGAATCAGATTGTAACGTAGCCGGCCTTTGGTAAGAAACAACTGTGAGGGATTTATTATTTTCCTTTGTGTTGCACACAGCAACATGAATCTCCCTCAGACTGAATCTTTAAGGGAAACAAACAACACACCATGTTAGTGATAGCGGCACTTAGTAAGTGATTTATTAAATAATACAAACTCACAATGCATGCTGTACTGTACAGTGCAATATCACAACCTAATCACTGCATGCGTGTAAAAAAACTGTTATCCAGCTATAGCAGCTCTTTCTTTAACTTTACACACTGCAGACAAGTTAATGCAGCACATGAGTAAACTGAATGGATTTAGTGGCAGGAAGCCAAAGTTTTAAATGAGCTCTTGCTCCAGCCAAGGCAGATTTTAAAATGTGATGGTAAAGGAACGTTTCACTCCTTCAGGCTTTGTCTGAATACAAACTTTCAGCCTCACAATTAGGTCTGAATGGAAATTGATGCAAAAATGTATTACCAGTCATTTCTAATTATTAAGCCATACAGTTGTTGAAGAATTTGGGGCTTTGTTAAGTTGTCATAGAAAAGCTTATTTATCCAGAATATTACAAAATTGCACTTTTGACAGGCACTACGATTGATTGCTGGAAAAGACATATAACTACATTATAAAGCAATTTCTTAAATCACTTATTATATACTTTCTTACTGCACCTGCTATGCACGTCCATGAAAAGTGGGCTACTCCATCTGCTAAGGAAAATCGTGTGGTACGATCAAATGTTCCACAATAGCTACTAAGTGGACCTCGTGGGGAAATAGTTTTTGTCATCTGCTGTTCCCAAGGTGAAGAATAAACTTTCCATCTCACTTATTCATTGAATAAAATGGTGTGTCTTACTTTTGAAAACGTTATATTTTGTTTTACTGGGAATAACTAAAATGCACATTCAGCTCCACTTGTGTAGCTCCTACAGTTAATTGCGTCACATCGGGGCAAACTCCAGAGTAGCTACTAAATGGGCACTGAGGTGCGATTGTTTTCTCAACTAAACTGCATTTAATATGTTCAAATGACCATTAGAACCACAATGATATGTTTAAACCTGCAATAACTGATATTTTGGCTGCCTTAGGGCAACTGAAACGAGTTGCGAACACAACTTTGACATATCAACAGCAAAATGAGCGTTCATTTGGAGTTTCTGCCACCTGATTAACATATGTCCAATTTTATGTCTCTTTTAGCTCTGTTTTTGGTCTCTAACAACTCCTAAAGGAGGAATCAGTCAAGTTGCTGCTAAACAATGGGCTGAAACTCGCCGTAAAGCTCGGTAAAGCCAAGGGGAGCTGCAGATCTGTGTGTGAATTTCACAGGGGAACTCTTTCACGTTGTCATTTGATACATTTTTATTCTAAAAATATTGTTATCGCCGCTTGAAAGTAGTTGTTACAACCTCTGCATTATGTTACCCTCAACAGTCTCTTGACTTATTGAAATGCAGCTCCTGTTTCACCAAAGGGGTGGTAACACTGCAAGTCTTTTGTCATGTCTAGATGTCTGAAGGCTACAGTAATAATAGCAATGTAACTCTATAGCAGCACACTGAGACCTGTTCAGAGCGTGAACATCAGACCCAGCAGACTGTCTGTGTACACGCTCGGATAGGTTTGGCTCCAGGGGACCGCAAGTCAGCAGGATAAATGACGTTGGCAAAGAAATTCATTACTTTGCATTCATAATTGACTCTTACAGAATATGCTATTAAACAACGCACAGAAAAACATTACTGTTTTCTCCTACATATGTTTGTCAACTGAAAGCTATTAATTCTACTCAGGGTGTTATCTATCTCACTTACAGCTCAGATGTTGTTGGTTAGAATATTCTTCTGCGCTTTGCTGGAATTTCAAGCACTTCCCTTCTGTAAATATTTCCTTTTGATACATATCTTGGACCAGCCCAACGACTATATTTCAGCACAAATCAATATCTTACCTTGCCTTTATCCCTCATGGACCCTTTGCCGAGGATGGACATCTTTACTCCGGTCTCCTCTTGCAATCGTTTCATGGAATTTCCCCGTGGTCCCAGCAGCTTCCCGACAAAATTAAACTGTGACACAGGAGAGAAAAAAGCAACCAGAATGCCTTATCAAAGTTTTTAACACGTGTAAGAAGAGGAGAAACAATGAAAAAGGTGACTTATGTGAAGACAAATGTTTCTGGAGACATTGTTGTTGGAAAACAGATGTGTTGGATGTAAAAAGAATGAGATCGGTTTGGAGAAAAGGTTAACCATTAATGATGTTGGCCGGGCTTTGTATGTAATATGTAGAAGTTCCAATAATTTGCGTGTCCGTAAATGTTACCAAGGTCTGACTTAAAGAACTGGACTCAGTCGGTTCAGTCCTAGTTTACTTAACTTTTTACTTCTAAATGACAGTTCAGTGATCGAACGTTACGAAATCTCAGAAACTCAGATAAGACTTCTACTTTTAGGTCTCACAGACGGCAAAAAAGTCTTTAGTATCAAAGTGGAAGCCTCCTCATAAACTTCAGATTTCCCAATGGATTCTCTCAACATTATATATCACATCTCTGGAACTCTATAGCTCGAACCAACAATGTGAAGGGAAATACAATTGGTCCAATATATGGTCTACATTGCCTCCCTGTTGCAGTCTTTCCACATCTATAATTGAGTATTATGTTTTAAAAATGTATATTCTTTACTTGTGCATATATATACGTATATATATATATTTTTACATCATGTCAAATACATGACTGTATCTGTATACTTATATGTCAAAATGATTCAAGTCCATTATTACAGATGATTTGCTGTATATTGAAAAATCTAAATTTGATGACCAATAAAAAAATGAAAAAGCTGTTTGCTGACCATTAGTCATCTATTATCAATACAATATCAGGTTCCATTCACCATTCATCATGTGAGAAAACAGCTATAATGTAGCCTGTGATGAATCAATAGAATTGTAGCACATTAAAAGTGAATGGGACTCTCATCTGCGGTCCAGCTTTATGTATCCATTCATTTGCCTGAACTGTGCCCTCACTAGTCATGTTTCTTATTGCCGTTTAGGGTCATCCATGTCCTGCTGAGAAAAAAAGAAAAGGGAACATGGGCTCAGACCAATAATGTTCCTGAGACTCTTCCAGAGGTCAGTGCTGAGATAAAGTCAGAAATAATGAGTTTCTTCCCAGTGGGAAATTAATACTATCCAGATGACAAACTATCAGATTCAAGCCTCGGGACTCTGACTATCATTTCCCGCTCACTGTGCACCAGCTAGTGTTCATATTGAGAGAAGAAGCTCTGGGTTGTTGAAGGCTCGACGCTGCTGAGATTACTGGTGATTAATCCGAGAGGTGAAACTCACAACTGTAGTCAAATGGGTCGTTTCTGAAGAAAACATGAGCAGAAGATCAATAAGAAAACAAGAGAAATGTTTACTACTTGAAACAAGCCCACAAAAGCTACTTGTACTATCTCAAACATTGTTTTTTAAATTGTATTAAGTGGTTCGACCTTCAAATATTTGCTGCTGGATGAGATGAAAGGAGACCACCTCCAGAGCTGAACAGGTGGTCAGCCGCCCACCACAACACACTGGCCAACCCTAAAATGATATTAACCTTTTCACAAAGCAGCTTCTCCCACTGTGGCTGAGCGGATAATAACTTCAGTGCCAGCTGTGTGGCTGCTGCAACTCAACTCCGACAACTGCACACTCAGCTTATTTCATGAACATCATTAACACCACGAGTGAACGCTACATCTCAGGATAGAGTGGCGCCAGGGACGCAGAGCTGAGACATCTTTAAAAGAAAAAAAAAAAAAAAGCATCCCTACTGCCCTTGCCTGTCCTCTGATCTGAATGATTAAGGCACCTTCGTGGATGCCTTTCTTCACAGGCGTTGCTTTGACAGGACTATCCTATAGCTGGCAGGGAGCTTGAGAGCAGATGGTCGTTTGTGGCTAAGTTGAGATAGCGCTCGCTGGGCGGTAGAAGAAGAGTGGCCTGTTTTCATTAAGCTAATGAATGTCTGGAGCCACTCTGCTGCTCCATGGCGAGCAATTTGGGCTTTAGAAAAGGGGCACGGTTCGGTGTTAAATGAGGTTTGAAATGATGCAATGTGCCCCCTGCAGTCTCAACACTGATAACTATGCAGACGGAAGGGTGTTGTGAATACAACAATTATGCACAAAGAGATGTTGAACAAATAAAACGGGTGCACATATCTACTTATTTGTACTTCACAAAGTGTAATTTCTACAAGAAGGACAAACCTTTAATTTCTTTTGTGCAGGATAAATTTGAATGTCTCCATATTCATTCTGAGTTGTCGTTTATTATAAAGTTCTGTGTTGCAAAGTCTACAAGGCTTAAAAGAGGAGATACAATTGAGTCACATCTCACTAAAGTGAATCTGCAAACCTACTAACGCAGCTGAGCAGAGCACTTTCCCCAACATCCTCATTAACTAAGGATCTGGTCCTTAGTTACTTTTGAACAACATGATTTAAAAACAAATCTCCTCACAACTGAGAGCTCAACGCACTGCAACTTAAGAAAACATGTGCAATTAGACAACACACATGCGACATGATAAAACACAAAGCAAAGGCAGAAAATACAACAATATATAAAAAACATAAGCAAAAAATGCAAACTTCACAGAGAAAGGCCCCAGACTGCCAGCAGGTTGAAACCCAGAGCCTGTTTCTTGTTAAGCAACTACAATGTTATATGAGTACTATGCTAAATCGCTGGAGCAGTGCTGGCTCCAGCCATAAATGCATGACAGATTTTAAATTACACTTTAGATATTTATTACTTAGATTGTTTGAGATATTTCTTCAGGACGTAATTCTCCACTCTAGCTCATTATTTTGGCGTTAAGGTTGGAAAATATGGGCTAAAAGTTTTCTGTCTTGGGAACAGCTGATTTGATTACATTGATTGATTACAGCAAGCTGACAAGTGGTATTCGTGTCATATATCTGACCATTCTTTTGTTTATTTCCCCCCACAAAGTTGTCTCTCAAATATACAACACAATACTGTCACTATCTTTTTCCTGCTCCAAGCAATCGGCCTTTAGAAATCCACTATCAGTCCACCTCGAATACGAATTCTCCAATTGTCAGTTGGTTATGCTGGTGTGTGGTATCATGAATGAGACCAGTTCAGTGATCGACTTCTGCACTATATTTTTACATTTAAAATGACAAAGAAAGAAGTCTGAGAATAGAAGAAAGGGTTATTTTATAGTTCATTGTGGTTGTTCTCTGTATTCAACGACTGGTGTTATCTGTGTCTTTTTGAAGCACACTGACTTTTTTAAACTTTTTTGCACCTGTAATGAACAACAACATCCCTGAGCATGAAGTTGTTAATATTAAAAAAGGCTTTAGTGAGTGAAGTCTGACCACATATGGCTTATCTTATACATAATGTAAAACAATAGAACCACTGCTGTCTATTAGATGATTTATTTATTTGATGAAAGAAACAGTGCTTCTGCTGCAGGCTGTAGCATTTTATCTTTATTTCATACCCCGTCACTACAATGCCCTACAAGACCCGAGATCTCTGTGAACACACGTCCCAGCTGGATATCGGAGCAGCACACAAGAATATTTTTTTCCATTCACACATAATGATACTTAATATTTTATACTCTCATGACCCTGATTCTATAATGCTGCTAAATTTAAAGTAGTAAAAGCAAAGGACTCACTCACATAACAAAACAAACGTAAGCAAGTTCTGGTTGATTTTAAGTACCAAACTAGTCCGTTTCCATGCTTTAGTATAAATTCAGTTCCATGGAAAGCCTGGAAGTATTGAAACTTCAACTTCAGCACATAAACTTTGTGAAGGGGTTGTATCACTGCAGAACTAATAACACAAAAACCTTTTTCGGCTTTTAAGTTGGAAAATGTGCACGGTGGCCGCCTTTTAATGCAGTTCACTGGGGCCAGGCAAGATTTGCAGATGTCCTGAGGCACTTATCGCCAGGTTAGCGAGCTATGCTATTGGGGAAGTCCAGGTCCTGTCTGATAGGAGGATTAAAGCCCCAGGTAGAGGTTTATGCTTTAATGACAGCTATGGATGACTGGGCTGTCAGACGACTGTGTCCTATCAACTCCACAGACATTAAAGGAAGCAGATGGGAGGAGATTTACTGTTCACCTGGTTCAGTGTATCACACATTAAGGTATGACTTTGCTTTACAGCTGTTGTCTTTGTTGAGGGTGTTGTCTCTGGTCAAGACAATAATAAAACAACTTCGGCATTCTTAAATATTGGAGTGTGTGGCGCTTTATGTATCATATATTGCAAATATTCCACCACTTCCTGTATCCACTATGTGGTGTGCTAGTGAACACGCAAAAACATGCATTATGTTGCTCTATATGAAGTGTAGACCACTTCATGTAAATGTCGTAAATCGGATGCCGTTTGTCACATAATGCTGATTTCCTTTCGCCAGTAGGTGGCGCTTTGATTATGAGTGAGAATGGAGGAATGGCGTAAAATGTCCATCACACTACGGATACGCCATTCCATCAAACGTAAAGCTTTTCATAACTTTTAATCACAAAGGTCTTTAGATTGTAAAGATCAAATTTGAAGTTTATCTTATAAATTCGCTAGAGGGAGTTAGTTAATAAAGTATTGGGCCTAGTAATGGGCAAAACTGAAGGGAAAATTCGTACGAAAATCAAAATGGCAGACTTCCTGTTAGCTATTGTGTAGGAGTACTTTGCAAAAATGTGTTTTTTGAAAAATACTAAATGGCGCAAAAAGTAGGTGGAGCTTAATGGTCTAAATTGGCTTTTTTGTAGAGCAGACAGAACTGGACATGTGTGTCGAATTTCAAGTCAATCGGACATAAGGGGTGAGGGGCGTGGCCTGTCAAACAGCTAGGCAGCACTAGCAAGTTATTTTGTCATACCCGAGCGTGGGACCCATAAAATATCAAATTTGAAAAGCGTGCACAATTTGGTGAGTTTTTGAGCATGAAGCCCTCAAAAATGCAATTCCACGCGAAAAATAATAATAATAATTCTAGCGA